TAGCTGTAGTAGCGGAGGAACACATTGAAACAACAGAGGAATTTGTCATGACAGCCCATGCGGGAAGTAGGTCCGAGGAGTTCAGGGATCTGTGGATTCTTGATTCAGGAGCATCCCACCACATGACGCCCTACAAGGATATATTCGACAACTTAAATGAGGGTGTAAGAGGAAACGTCATGTTGGCGAAAAGGAAGACGAGTACTCCTTTGCTGGGTAAAGGGAGTGTAGCCTTAAAGGTAACAAATGAATATGGAGGCAAGAAGTTAAGATTAAATAATTGTTCATATGTACCTGGTTTGGATTGTAACTTGTTGTCAATGAGACAATTAGATAGGTTGGGTTGTGAAGCACATATAAAGAATGGGATAATAACAGTCTCAAAGGATGGAGTTGTCATTTTTGTAGCCAGGGGAAAGGGAGATCAATTATACCATCTTCAGTGTGAATATTATACAGTGTCAGGCAAGAGTTTGATGTGTAGTATAAGTAGTAAGATGGAAATAGAAAAGAGAATGAATCTTATGAAGGCCAAGGCCCTGAAGTGTGAAGCCATATGGCATCAGAGATTTGGACATATGAAAACCCTACCAAAGTTTTGTGGTGTAGATGAGTGTCAATTAAATTGTGATGTATGCATCACAGGAAAGTTACACAGAAAGAAATTTTGTAAGAATTCCAAAAGTGCAGAGAATGTTTTGGAGGTGATACATTCAGATGTATGTGGAAAAATTACACCACAAAGCTTGGGTGGGAAACAGTATTTTGTAACCTTTTTAGACGATAACTCAAGATTCTCAACTGTTGAAGTTTTAACAAACAAGTGTGATGTATTACCAGCCTTTCAAAGATATGTAGAGAAAGTTGAAGTGTTACAAGAGAGACGAATTAAATTTTTACAATCAGACAATGGGGGAGAATATTGCAGTGCAGCATTTAATGAATACTTGGATCAGAAAGGAATAGGCAGAAGGTTAAGTGTAGCTAGAACCCCACAACAAAATGGACGCTCTGAGAGGTTGAATAGAACTTTGCTATGCATTGTTCGTTGCATATTAGAGAATGCAGGATTGCCGAAGTCTTTCTGGGGAGAGGCGGTACTCACCGCAAGTAATATTAGAAATTGTTGCCCATCTAAAGCAATCCAAGGAAGAATTCCCATTGAAGTCTGGTCTAAGAAGGCATTTACTATAGATATGGCCAGAGAAATGAAAGTTTTTGGCTGCAGGGCTTGGGATCTGAATTTAAATGTCAAGGATAAACTTGACAGCAGAGCAGTTGAATGTATTTACCTTGGTAGTGCTAGGGACGCTAAAGGGTATAGACTCTATAGTGTAAATGAGAAGAAGATTCGCATATCCAGAGATGCTAGGTTTGAAGAAAGTGTTTTTCCTTATAAGACTATTATTCGAAAGACTGTGATTCAGACTAAGAGTGAAACACCCATTTATGTATATGATTCAGACTGTACTGATACAGAAGACAATGTGGGTGGGTCACATCCCAGTGTAGATGAGAATGATGATAAACCTAGTATAGTAGGTAATGACATAAATGTGGATAATTTGGAAAATGTACCCCAAGAAAATGTACAACCCCGTAGAACCACGAGAACTATTAAGCAGAAAGTTGTATGTGAATGTTGTGCTAAAGTAGATTGTGGTGAAATTACATTGGCAGAACCTAAATCTGTAGGGGAGGCGCTTAGTAGAATTGATAGAGATCACTGGATTGGAGCAATGAAATTAGAGATAGAGAACTTGAAGAAAAATCAAACTTGGGAAGTTGTGAGAAAACCAAAGAATGTTAATGTTATAGGTTCCCGGTGGGTATTTAGCCTGAGAAAGAAAGATGATGGCACTTTTAAGTATAAAGCCAGGTTAGTAGCCCAAGGTTTCCATCAAGTTTATGGTATAGATTTCTGGGATAGCTATAGCCCAGTAATGCGACGAGCGTCCTTTAGGATCCTAATGGCTTTGTCTGTTGATAGAGGATGGGAGGTTGATCATGTCGACGTTGTAGGTGCATATTTAAATAGTACTCTGAAAGAAATTGTATACATGCGCCAACCCGAACTGTTTGAAGAGGGTAATGCTGATGATGTATGTTTACTTTTGAAAAGCATATATGGATTACATCAATCTGGGAAGGACTGGAATGATACTATTACTTTCATCTTTGTCAGTTTCGGATTGAAACAGTGTACTAAAGATCCATGTGTTTTCTTTAATGACAGGATTATTGTGGCTATTTATGTCGATGATATGATTATTTGTGGAACTAGAAAGGATGTGAATGACTGCAAAAGACAACTTTCTCAAAGGTTAAACGTTAAAGATTTGGGACCTGTGTCAAATTTTTTAGGTATTAATGTGGATAGACCCAATGGATATGTAATTAAAATACATCAAGAAAATTATGTGAATGAAACACTGAAAACTTTTGGTATGCTTGATTGTAAAGGATGTGTAACTCCAAGGGACCCAAACTATAACAATTTTCTCGATGGTGACAAGCCCTTTGATGAGATTCAGTACAAGGCAGCAGTAGGTAGGTTGCAGTACATTGCCACTTGTACTAGACCAGATATTGTTTTTTCAACAAATCAAGTCAGCAAGTTTTGCCATTGTCCGACCAAAGGGAGATGGCTGGAGGTGATGAGAATTATGAGATACTTGAAACATACAATTAAATACCGGCTGACCTATGAAAAATCTGAAATTGACCCAGTAATTTATTCTGATTCTGATTTTGCTAACGATGTACATGACAGTAAATCCGTGGCGGGTTATGTTATCATGATGTCAAAGGGAGCTGTGTCTTGGAAGTCCAAGAAACAAGACATTGTAGCCACATCTACCAACGAAGCTGAGTATATAGCATTATATGAGTGTAGCAAGGAAGTTATTTGGATGAGAGAGTTTCTGTCAGAAATTAATGTAGCAGTATCTACTCCTAGTATAATCTTTGGAGACAATTTACAGGCAAATGATATGTGCACAAAGAATAAGATTACTGAACGCAACAAGCATTTTAGAATGCGGCAACATAAGATTAGAGAATATGTTAATGATGGAGATATTAGTATCCAGTATGTAGATTCAAGCACTAATTGTGCTGATATGCTGACTAAAGCTACTAATGGTCCAAAGATAAATGAGCTGTCTTTAAAGATAGGTTTGAAATTCGGTGTGGAATTGTAAACTTGTTTTACTTTTGGTTATTGTAATTATAGATTTTGACTGTAAAATATGTCCAACAAGGGGAGGTGTTGTAATACTATAGTTCTAGTGTTGGCCATATTTATCTAGTGATATATATTGTTCATAAGTTGGTACCACACCCACTGCTACTTTCTTTCTGTGTGTACCTTTGGTATCTTGTAATGTTCATTCAGTCTCCAGTAAACGTTAGATTTGGACGAAGGCATTTCATTTCTTATCCGTTTTTACCTCGATGATCCAATGTGATTTCACAAAGGAAACAACAGTTAGCCACCATGATGTAGCGTAGAAGTTTGTCAGCCCTATGCACCTGTCACACTTTACCCCAAGAATATTCCAAGAATATTCCTGGTACTCATTTCTGTTAGAGGCTGAGTCGACCCCAGGGCCATGGTGCAGCTGGAAGGATTAGGTAAATTGAAAAAATATATAATCGGGACAATGGTAACTGAAAGAAACATGATGTTAAAATAATTTTGTTACAATTAAATAAATTCACTGTCACTGTCTGCTAGCAGTCATCAGGTTTAGTAGCAGTTATGAAAAGGAGCAGATGTCAGCAATAAACAACAGTGCAAAAAAGTATGCCTGAGTTAGTATTGCAGTGGTCACATTTGTGCCCCCACCCCATCCCAACTTGACAACATACTGATAAACAGCACCATTACAGCCCCTATCTTCATATTCTATGGGGCACACAGTAATGTAGTTGGTTGAGGCACTAAGCAACAAGCCCGAAGATCGTGGGTTCGACTTCCGATGAGGTAACTGGATTTTTCTTTGATCTCATCCTTCCAGACACATTACGGCCCTGGGGTGGACTTAACCTCTAACGGAAAAATGAGTACCAGGAATCTTCCTGTGGGTAAAGGGCAGCCGGACATCACGTAAGGCCAATAACCTCACTGCTGTCTGTGAGCCTCTGTCTCTCACAATGTTATGGGCCTCCATGGCCTGTTACAGTGATAGCTTTATTTTATTTTATTTCGTTTTTCTTATCCTCATATGCTCTCAATGTTAGTATTCTGCTACAAATGTAGATGTCTATCCAGAATTCTTAAACTTCACTGTGGGAACAGTCCATGAATCATGATTTAAAATTGTCCTTCAAGTGTTCTGATGTATAATGGTGGATCAGTCAGGTGAGCACAGTGTGATCAAGTAAAATCCATCCATTCTACAAACCAGAGTACATCATACCTAAGGTAAGCGACCTTATGGAAGAAATGTCCTATGTAAGTACATTTGAATTTCCTACCAACGTGTGAATAACATGTGTTGAAATTAATCTAGTGAATTTCTAATGATGATGTAATTGTCTATGTCACTAAGTTATGATGAATATTTTATGTAGCAGAGTATATAATGTTCTTAAACACAACAATTTCACATTGAAATTTCAACACACTTCATCCTAGTTCTTTGTGAAATCATTTTCACTTTTCTTGTCTCACTGCTCGCTTACTTGCGGGCCCAGCCATTTTCACAATACTAGCACTTCTTAGTATTCCGTATAGAAGAAATGAGTAGCAAATGGTCAACATCACATAAGGTAGCACCATCCAATGACAAAGAGGAAATCTACATGCTCAAACTGCAGAATGATATTTTGTATCATCATGGTGTGTTAGTGCCTGGTCCTGGTCAGAAATGGTATTATGGAAAAAAACACAACAAAACAATGATCAATCTTGGACATAGAAGCAAAATGTGCTAACAGAAATTACATCATGAGTTTACCAGGTTTGTAGTCAAGAGAATTAATATTGAATTTACCATCCTCGAAGGTCCGAACACGTACTGGAGGAGAACTCAGGGCCCCATCTCCCAAACGAGTATATGCCAAGACTTGAATGTGATACTGCACATATTTTCGCAGCTCAGTGAGTGTTGTAGTCTGTGTTGAGTTGTTAGGAATATCTTTGTACTGAAAAAAGAATACCAAGTAATTATAATTGAATTGAATTGAATTTATTTACATTCTATAAATCCTAAGCAGGTTAGTACCTTTGGATACAGAACAGGTCAAAAGGTTACATACATAAGTACAGGCAATTTTAGCTTAAAAATTAATATAACTTAATTTTATATCATTCTCTATTTACATTGAAGTATTCATCTAAAGAGTAGAAGGAATGAGCATGTAGATAATTCTTTAACTCTGATTTAAACTTTTTAGTATCATTGCAATGTAATATAACAGTAACAGTGATCATTCATCCAGGGTTTACAC